CTCAGGAGGGAGTGGGAAATTGTGAAATTTTCGGAAAAGCGGTCAATTTCGGTAAATCTCAGCGGCAAAGGACGAAATCCGCCATTTTTTTGGCATCATCAGATATCTAAGGCCGCTCCAGTTATTATAGAACTCAATGAATGGTACCAAGGCGATGATCTTTAATTTATCTGAAATCTCTCAACGAGCTCTTATGAATGAGCAATTCAAAATCGCCGTAACTCCGATATTTTGCAATATATGTTTTGCGCATGCGCATTGCTATCTCCTAAACTACTGGTTTAGAATAATCTAATAACGTTAAAATAATGATTTTAGCACATATTAGCAAAAGATTGGAAATTGCCATAACTCTAATATTTTGTAAGATTAGTTCTGCGCATGCGCAGTGCTTCTCATAAACTACTGGGGCTATGGCGATGATCTTTAGCTCATCGTAAAGCTCTCGACGAGCAATTTTGAATGAGCTATTCAAAATTTCCGTAACTCTAATATTTTGCCCGATATTTTCTGCGCATGCACAAGAGTATTTCTGCGTATGCGCAGTGCTATTTCCTAAACTAATGGTTCCAAGGCTATGATCTTTACTTCGTCTGAAAGCTCTTGACGAGCTCTTTCGAATGAGCTATTCAAAATCACCGTAACTCCAATATTTTGCAAGAAAAATTCTGCGCATGCGCGAGCGTATTTCTGCGCAAGTCAATTTGTTCGCATGCGCAGTGCTATTTCATAAACTACTGGTGCTACGGCGATGATCTTTAGCTCATCTGATTGCTCTCAATAGGCTCTTTTGAATGAGCTTTTCAAAGTCACCGTAATTTTAATATTTTGCGAGATAAGTTCTGCTCATTCGCGAGTGAACTTCTGCACATGCCCAGTGCTATCTCCTAAACTACTGATGCTACAGCGATGATCTATAGCTCATCTGAAAGCTCTCAAAAAGCTCTTTCGAAATGAGACTTTTAAAACCACCATAACTCCACTATTTTGTGAGTGTTTATGCGCATTCGCAGTGCTTTTTAATAAACTCCTGGTGCCATTGCGATGATCTTTGGCTCAACCAAAAGCTCTCGACGGCTATTCAAAATAGCCGTAACCCCAATCTTTTGCGAAATAAATTTTGCGCATTCGCGAGAGTATTTCTGCGCATGCGCAATGCTTTCTAATAAACTACTGGTGCTACGGTGATGGTCCTTAGCTCAACTGAAAGCTCTCGATGAGCTCTTTCGAATGAGCTATTCAAAATCGCCGTAACTCTAATACATAATGAGATAGGTTCTGCGCATGCACTAGTCTATTTCTGCCCATGCGCAGTGCTTTCTAATAAACTATTGGTGCCAAGGGGGTGATCTCCCCTACAGTGATGATCTTTAGCTCAATTAAAAGCTTTTGACGAGCTCTTTCGAATGAGCTATTCAAAATTGCTGTAACTCCAATATTTTTCGAGATGGGTTCTGCGCATGCGCAGTGCTTTCTGATAAACTAATGGAGCCAAGGCGATAATCTTTATCTCATCTGAAAGCTCTCAACAAGCTCTTCCGAAATGAGCCTTTCAAAATCGCCGTTACTCCATTATTTTTCGCGATAGGTCCCGCGCATGCGCGAGAGTATTTCTATGCATGCGCAATGCTATCTCCTAAGCTACTGGTTTAGACTAATCTAATAACGTTAAAATAATGATTTTTGCACATATTTGACAAAAAAATTGGAAATCGCCGTAACTCCAATATGTTGCGAGATAGGTTCTGCGCATGCGCGAGCGTATTTCTGCCCATACGCAGTGCTATCTCATAAACTACTGGTGCTAAGGCGATGATCTTTAGCTCAAATGAAAGCTCCCGATGAGCTAAGTAGTATAGTACATGGGGGTAGGGGATCAAAAAAAGTTTACTTTTTTTTATCCCATACGCCCCATGTACTATACTACATATAACCTTGGATAAAAACTTTCTTTATAATAGCTTAAAATAAGACCATGGTTAAAAGGCGTCCCTCAGTAAAAGGTCATGTAAAAAGCTACGTAAAAAAGTCATTGTTTCAAAGGGGTTAAAAATCTCGAGGTTACAATCTGTCGTTTCAAAATTTGGAATCTATATGTTTTAAAAACTATCTTTATAAACAAATGTTAATAAAGCATCGGTTCGGAGGCGATCCGGCAGCGCAAATTTTAGCGTAGCTAAAATTGAGCAGGGGGATGGGATCGCCGAGAATTCATGCGAGCCCTGGTGGGTAAAAAATTCTAGCTTTAGCTAGAATTTTCTTCCCCGGGTCCGAAGGACGACAGAGGCTTAATATATGCTCTTTAAAAACTATCTTTAGAAATCAAGTGTTAATAAAACATCTTTACAAAATATGGAATCTATATGTTTTTGAAATATATAGGTGCGTTTAAATTTTACAAACGGTCTTTACAAACAAATGTTAAGAAAGCATCGGTTCGGAGGGGGATCGGCAGCGCAGATCACGAAGTGATCGAGCAGGGGAATGGATCCCCCGAGAATTCTGGAACCCAGGTGGGGAAAATTTTCACGAAGTGAAAATTCGGGGTTCCCCCTTAGATTCGAAGAATTCGAAGAATTCGAGAATAACAGAGGCTTAAGAAATGCTCTTAAAAAAAACCGTCTTTAATAATCAAGTGTTAATAATCAAGTGTTATTAAAATATCAGTAGCAGCGCGCGTGTCTTAGTGCATGTTCTTAACAATGGTTGTTTAATGTAGATAGCACATTTCATCAGCGCATGTATAATAATCAAGTGTTAATAATCAAGTGTTATTAAAATATCAGTAGCAGCGCGCGTGTCTTAGTGCATGTTCTTAACAATGGTTGTTTAATGTAGATAGCACATTTCATCAGCGCATGTATAATAATCAAGTGTTAATAATCAAGTGTTAATAAAGCATCTTTTTAAATCGTTGTTAGGGGCGAAGAATTTCAGGCAACTAAGCCTGAAATTTTGAGCGCAACAATGTCATAGATGCTCTTTACAAAACTATGGAATCTATATGTTTTTTAATTTGTCTGTCAAGCGAGTGTCATATAATTTTTGTTAAAAGTGTTTTTAATAATTGTTTCAGGATTTTGAATTCTTTTGTATATCGCTTTTGTATTAATTACTTATTACAAACAGTTATGTGATATGTAGTCAAACATGAGGATTATTCTTCATCTTAAGTTTTAGCTTGATAGTTATTTTTAATAAATTTTTTTAATTTTTCGATTTCATCATTTACAAATTTTTTAGTTGATAGAATATTATCTTCTATAGTAGCCCTAAAATTTTGTGAAAAACCATTAAATGACATAGATAATGTAGATTGATGTTGTGAATAAACTTGAATTTTGGTTAATCCATTAAATGCTGCCATCCATTTTCTTTTCCATTCATCATAACCTAGTGAAACTGAAGATTTTGTTGGTTCAAGAATTAATAAAGTATTTTTATCATTGTCATAAACACAGTATACGTGATATAAATCTAGTAATGAATTAACTATCTTTTTTTCATTATCATTTGTTACTTTAATGATAAATTTTTTTTTAATCTTATCTGCCATCATATCTAATTTAATTGTTTTAGAGTTATCAGATGGATTTATTAATAAAAGTGTAAATTCAATAATGTTAACATTATTAAAATAAATTCTGATAATATTTTGTCGGGTATTAAAATTTTTATAATTTAATTGATTGCTATGGTGTACTACTTTACCATTTACTCTGCTATCAATCTCATTCTTTGTATAATAGTTATTTAAATTAGAGGTCAAAGCATACTTACCATCTGTTTCATTCTTTGTATAATAGTTAGTTAAATTAGAGGTCAAAGCATACTTACCATCTGTTTCATTCTTTGTATAATATTTATTTAAATTAGAACTTAAAGCATACTTAGAATCTGTTTCATTCTTTGTATAATATTTATTTAAATTAGAACTTAAAGCATACTTAGAATCTGTTTCATTCTTTGTATAGAATTTGGATAAATTAGAGGTCAAAGCATACTTGGAATCTGTTTCATTCTTTGTATAATATTTATTTAAATTAGAGGTCAAAGCATACTTACCATCTGTTTCATTCTTTGTATAATATTTATTTAAATTAGAACTTAAAGCATACTTACCATCTGTTTCATTCTTTGTATAATATTTATTTAAATTAGAACTTAAAGCATACTTAGAATCTGTTTCATTCTTTGTATAGAATTTGGATAAATTAGAGGTCAAAGCATACTTGGAATCTGTTTCATTTTTTGTATAGTAGTTATCTGATAGATGTGTTTTATCTACAGGTCCTTGTATATTTACATTAATATCTGTTTTATCATGCCCATAAAATAAGCTCATTTATATTATTCCTCAGATTTTATATCCTGTTTATTATTTTTATGTTCATAAACATGTTTAACGGTTGTTATACCACCAGATAAAAAACCTAGAAAAGGTAATATAGGGGATACTTTTTCTACTAAACTGTACACATCTCGTTTTAAAAGGTCGTCTGATTTAAGCTGTTTTGTTAATTCTTTGGGATCTTTAATAACATCAAACCCTTTTAATACATCTGAAAATTTTGATATAACTAAATCAGTTAAAAACTCATTAGCTTTTTGTAATCGTTTTTTTTCGTATTCAATGTATAATTTATCAATAATTTTTTGACTAGCTTTTTTAATGTAAGCAACTGACTTGTCTAAATCACCATCTTCAGCTAGTTTAAGTAGTTGATCTCTTTTATTAAAATTTTCTTGCGGTTTATATTGTATATTATCATCACATACAGCATCTTTGATAGTATCATTTGCGGAATCAATCTCATTAATTATATCATCAATTGTTTCAGGCTCTTTACGCTTTGGCATATATATTAACACATGTTTTATTGCGGAATAACAATTTTCCATTGGTATGGATATATTAGTTGAATAAATAGATGAGTAAATTTATTATTTTTCAATTTTTTGGTTATTTCTTCTATATCATATTTCTCAACACCATAAAGATAATCATCAAATATTGTTTTCATATTATTGCGGTTTGTATTATAAAATGCAACTAAATAACTTATATTTTCACGATAAGGTTTGGCAATACTTGTCAATTGCTGTGTAACCACAATAGTAGAAAGTCCATAATGACGAGCACTGAATGCTAAACGAACTAATTCAGATGTCCTATTTTTAACATCTAATCCACTTGCATCAAGAATAATAAGACTATTTGTACCTTTATATACATCACTAACATATTTTAAAACAATATCTACCTGATCTTGGTCACATTCTACCTTAATTAAATCAGAATCATTTATATATTTCCATTCTTGATAGGTTTTATTATATGATAATGTGGGCATAATAAAATAATATAATCAAAATGTTATTAAAGTTTTTTCTAACATTCTTAAAAGAATGAAGGTTTTACCACAATTTGTCATACCTACAATAATCATATTAAAGGTGTATTCATTTATATATTACTGGTTATTTAGTATTGAATACTTTGTAAATCATTATTAACAAATTGAACAAGAGCATCACTAATAACATAGATGTAACAGTTTAAATCTTTTGTATATGCTCTTTTTAATTTCTAGTAGAACGCCATTTTGAGTATTAATGATTTTTTACCGTTACCAGCAATATTTTTTCTTGAAAGGTGCGTAGATCGATAACTAATGCAAATTTATCCTTATAAAATTTTTCAATTGTCATGAAGCAATCTATCGGAATAGTTCTATCAAAAATTTTCTTGCTTCTTCATAAAATGTTTTTATTCATACCTTGGGCGAAAATACAATTTGGCACCCTCTATTGTCACAGAAATTTTATCGATTAATGGAAATAGAAATTTTCACTATCACTAACTGAATCTTCTGTAAATAATAGTACAATGCCTTTCATACTTTTACGAGGGACATTTACGTTTATATTCTGTAATGTACTTGACTTATCCCATTTTTCCTTTTTTAAGAGGGTTATATGTTCATAAAATAGGCTTCTTCCTATAGAATATAAATTTGTCACCTCATTTGCAATTTCTTGTTTTCAATAGTTTCATATTCAAGTTGAATATTTTCTAATTCATAATCACCTATATTTTGACCACTTTGGGGATAAGGACTTGATCACTTGGTGGTAATGTTATTATGTATTGAAAGTTATTATTCATATTGAAAGGGCAATACAGACCATGGTCTTTAAGAATATTATCAATATTAATTTTTGTCTTGTACCATAAATATCATACATTAATTTGTCTGATACTTTTCTGAACTTCCACTTGTTGCAGCACTATCATCTTTCGAAATGAGTTTTCGTAAATTTTCGCTACAAATACCATATTCAATAAGGCCTTGTCGATCACTTTTAGGTAACCACAAGTCTTTGTATACACTTATAATATTATGTTCACTACAATCGTAAAGGGTTTCCCCAGCCACTTTAATTTGTAGTCTATGTTGTAAAATCTGACTGAGATTATTTATAAAGTGACTTTTGTATTACTGATTTTAAGATCAAACGATAGATTAAGTGAACCAGGCACTAAGCAACTATTTGCTTTCAATTTCGGAATATTAATATAAACTTGTTCATTCGGTTTAAGACTATTAGGGTTAAAGGTTATACTATAAAAGTACGGTTACCTTTAATTTTTGTCATAGCAGTCTTTTATAACCAGGTAAAAGCTCTTCTTGTAATAATCTATTCATATATATTAAAACATATTTTATTTTCTTCTTTGTTTATACTGATCATATATTAACAAAGCAGCAGCAATAGCTAAAATCCATAGATTAGAAGCTAACCATGCTAAACCTTTAGCTCCCCAAGATATAGCCTGAGCGATAATATTCAATAATGGTCCTAACACTGGCCATAATTTTTACCTATATTTGCTAAAGCCTTAGAAAATTTACTAGTAGCTTGAGCACCTTGTAGGATTGCTTTTCTTGCTCCAATGACAATGGTTGTAATTATCCAGCCACAGATATAGCTAAAGCTGATAATCCTGGGATATTTTCCTTAACCCATTCTTTAAAACGTTGTAATCTAGTAATGTCTTCTTCCTGTTTATCTCGTACATCCTCTTTTTCTAATTGATCTTCTTCTTCTTTAATTATAATTTCTAATTCCGGCTCTTTCATGCAAATTAGTTAATTCATCAATATTATTGTCAATACCATTTTCATTTTCTATTTCATCTATTCTAGCTATAGTTTTGTTTAGCTCTTCAGAAAAGTGATTTATTTGTGCTTCTATGAATTGTGGACGTGTTCTTTTATCAATAGTTCCAGAGGGGGTCATTACACCTATATGTTCTCTAAGCTCTTGATTAGTTATTTGATTGAAATTTTCTGTATATTGATTATTTAAATCAACCATAGGCATACTCTCTTCAGTTTTTATAAATTCATTTTGCAAATTAATAATTCTGTTAATTACGTTTTTAAATTGTTTAACAGCTTCTTCTGATTTTTTTGTTTTATTGTATTGTAGTACTCCATTACTATTACGTGTTAAAACAATTCTTTCAGCACCTCGCTGATTTCTTGTATTTAATGGTTTGTAAGTAATATTATTTATATTAGTTTTACCTAAATTTAATCTAAGATTTATACCTTCAGAAGCTGCCATACCTTTTAGGTGATTAAATCTAAACACTTTTCTATAATTTTTTGTAATGAACTGTTCAACAGCAAAAGAAACTTCATTTTCAAGTCTATTAATATTTATATCAACAGGAGTTGAAGTAGGAACATCAGGAAGATTATTAGTTTTATTTGTATTTTTTCTTATTGTTATACCATAATTATCATCAGTAAATGATGTTTCATAATATTCATTATTTTCTTGCTTATTATCTTCATCATCAATAAATTGAAAATTTTGCCAATCTTCATTATCTTTTTGCTTTTTATCTTCTAATTCAATATAATCATAACCTCCTTTAGCCATTATATAGATTACTCTATATTTTGTATTTCACTTTCAGGAATCCAACTGTTATGTTTATTATCATAACCTAACCATTTAACTAAAACCATCTTTTTTCCTTTAACCTTCTTACGTTTTAATATCTTTTCAACTCTATAAACATCATCTTTCTTATTCACAACCGATAGTTCCTCTTCATAAAATTTACCGATTATAGGCTCTCCTTCTATATCTTCTATCTCATATAAATTCGGGTCTCCTCTAATAACTTTAGTCACTTTAAACAACTCTTCTGTAAAATTTGCTTCATAACCTTTCGTAAATATAGATTTATACTTTGATATTCTAACCATATCACCAATTTTAATCTTAGGTAATGGTAAATAAGCAACTTCATAACCGTATAATGTATTCCATACTTCATCTTCATTATTTTTATTAACATCTTTAGGCTTCATCAAGATTGTACTGTGTTTTGTATTGTTATAATTATATACTAAATCATCCAATATATCAATCCATTTATATGTTCCTTTACTGTAAAAATATTTCCACATAGATGTTTTAAGCGTTCTGTTAAATCGTTCGACAATCGCAGCCTTTTATCATTTTTAGTAGAGAAGTACTTAATTCCATGTTTCTCTAATAATGATTTGACACCTACATTATAAAATTCTTTACCATCATCAAATTGAGCTAGTTTGGGTAATCATTAAATCTATCTTTAAATTGACTTAATAGTTTTGCAACAGCTTTTGTCATATTATTTGTGTCTTTCCTATAAACAGGGATAGCAAATGCATATCTACTTAATATTTCAATAGCTGTTAATATCCAATAATAACCATTGTTTTTATACTTATAAGAACCCATATCAACTAAATCCATTTGTATTTGTTCACCAAGATAGTTTACCCTTGTTTGTCTGAATTTATGTCTCCTAATAATAGGTTTATATCTAGTGTATGTATCTTGAGATATTAACCATTCTTTAACCTGTTTTCTACTAACATCTATACCTTCTTCTAATGCTTTCTGATACAACCGTTCTGCTGATTGATACCCTGTTTTGGATTATAATAAATATCTCTTAAACTTTGCTCAATTTTAATGTCTTCATCCATTTAACTTACTCAAGATAACATTCAAGTAGAATACTACCTACATTAACAGGGTACCATCTTGATCTAATATATTAAATATTAGCTCGTTAAAGGCTCCTTTTATAATTGTAACTTTAGATTCAATATCATTGTATTCGTATACAGTGCCAAATAACGACTGAATTGTTATTACTGGTAAAGTTAAAGCTATATTACTTTTTTTTCCTTCAGGGTTATAATTATAACTTGAATTTACAATATTAGAAGAAATTTGAATATAGTTTAATCCTCTGTTTATATCCACTTTAGAAACACCATTTTGTACGATACCTTTTTTCATAGTTTTTATGGTATCATTAAAACCTACCATTTCAATAAGAGTATCAGACAATACTAATACCTCATCATTATTATTAGTTATTTTACAAGTTCCATTATTTTCTACCATCTCAAGCTTTACGTTAACAGACTCAAAAAACGTTTTAAGCATTTTAAAAGTCCAGTAACCAGCATCTATATTATATTTTGTTGTGCCTATTGTAAAAGCTAAAGTATTATTTAATTTAACATTTTTATATTCCCAATAAACATAAGCTTTTTTGATATATAAATATGAATAGTTAGTTGTTACTATACTTTCTTGTAAGTCAATTTTTTTACAATCTCCGTCTATAAAAACAGTGAACTTCATATATAACATAGCTTATATTATATGTCAGACAAGCAAATCAAAGAAAATGCTATAAAATTAGGCGATGATTTAAAAAATGTACCAACATGGCCAAAAATATATTTAGAAACAACTAAAACGCCTTCATTTTCAAATCTCATAGCAGCAATAAATGGAGATGAAGGTCATTCTGAGGATTATTTCGATCATATGCTGCATCGCTGGAGTAGCAAATTTATTGTAAAAAAGACATTTCAAAGGCCGGTAAATGTTGATATCTGTAACTTCAGATTGTATGTCACAGAGAATGATTATTTTATAAGTAGTTTACCACCTATAACAGCCACGTGGACAAGTGAAATTAAAAGTAAAAAAGAACAACCTACTGGTATAAGATACAATATTAAAAGTCATTTAAATTATAAACAAGAAGCATACTATGCTATGATTTGTGGATGTTATGT